TTTTTTTTTGGTGCTATGAAGATTTGATCGTGTTCTTTCTTTTAAACAGCTAGAGAATTTTTGTTACTGTTGTTTTTTCCAGCGATTTTACTGGGCTGTGAGTTGTAGATGTTGGCTTAGACAGTTAAACAGGGTTTGTAATCTTCAGATACCTTCACGCTTTATTTTACTGGCAGAAATGATCGTATCCTTGTGCCTTGGACTCATGAGGGTGTTGCATGGGAAGTCGATAAAAAGCACAAGTTCAAGAATCCTCCTGGCAACAGTTTACAAGAAGCTTTCAAGGTTAAAAGATTTTTGAACAGTGATAGTATGACGACCAATTTGCTAAATTTATTCCTTGCATTTGTTTATTTTATTAGAGCAGGTTTTTCTAGAACACTACGAAACCGCCTAATTGGCAGAAGAACGTATGGGAATTGGATCCCGAACATCCTGATAATAATGGATTTTTAAATACGGATTTTATAGTCTGGATGCGTACTGCTGCACTACCAAATTTTCGGAAGCTTTACCGCAGGCTTATTCGTATCGGATTCTTCACTTCTGGTCTACCTTTGGGGAGATATGAGTTGCGTATTATAAATAGTAAGTATACTTTGATCTTTGTAGTTTGTGTTTGCTCCTAACATTTTATTTGTTACATTAAGCTTAATTATCTTCAGATTATCCGGTCACTGTCTTTGGCGGGAGGAAGTATTTTGTAATTAGTACGACGTCGTGGGCCGGAGGAAAAAACTTATTTTTGGGTGTCATGTATATTATTGTGGGAAGCTTATGCGTAATTGCTGCCATTGCGTTTACCGTGATTCATCGCGTTTTGGGGAACCGATTCACTAGTTGAACTCTCTAAGCAAATGTAGTTAAAAATATGAGAGTTTTTTTGGGTTTAGAAGTCATCATTTTTACGTGTTTATTATTTAAAAGTTTTACGGTGCGTTTTGTAAACAGTAAAACTTTAACGATTGTAAACAAGTTAGGTTGGTTGAAGTTCGGAATGATGATTCATAGAGTAGGTTATTTTTGCGATACGTTTCTCTGGTCGGGTACGAGAGTTCTCTAAACCATCTTAGTCATCTAAAATGTAATTTTGATCGCATTTATCGAAGTTGTCTTCTTTGACCGGCTTCAGTTTACTGTGATTCCTGAAATACTCTGCTGCAAGCCACTGCTTCAAATCAGTAGCCGAATGATTCCTAGTCGTAAGATCCGGGATGAGTGCTTCGTAGCATTTGGTTAGATTTTATTTCTCAAATTTATACAGTAAGCTTTTACCGTTTGATCGCAAAAATTTGAGATTTTCATTTAAAATAAAATAAGTCTTAATTTTCTGTTCTGCAGCAGCGTATAAATATTACTTGTCTTTTTTAGCGAACAACTTACTGCTTTCAGTTCCTAATTCTCTTTCACGTTTTAAAATCATCTTTTTTTTGTTCTTTTTTGTTACTAACACTTTATTCTTTTTAAATGTGGCCATACAGGTTAATATAATTGGTGATGTATATAGGTTCACTTTAACTATAGAGACCCACTTGTGAATGGAAAAGGTTTTTCTCACAAGTCAAATAATTTTTTTGTGGTTTTGAATTGATTTATTTAAGGCGGTGTTTGTAGCTTACTGCAAAAAGCCCAAAAGTGGTGGGGAAATAAACCTCAAAGTTTTGTTGTTTTTGAAATTTTTGATTGTCTGTGCTATTCTGACTGTGATATGAAGTGCAATAAATATATTTTTTGGCTCGTTGTTTTAATATTCCTCTCATTACTGGGGCTTTAGCAGAAAATGTAGGATTTCATTTACTAGTGGACGGTAAAATCTTGCTTTTTTCGCGAAACAGTTCAGCTATAATGTAGATCACTTTACAATAAATTTAAACATGAAATATTTTTGGTTTTTAGACTCTTGTAGACATTTTTGCTAAGTAGTCAGCACCTGCTCAGTTTTGTAGATTTTTGGTTACTTCAAACGCAAAAACAGTTTTTCCTCCATTGAGGAATTATGCTTTTCTTGTACTGTTTCGGAGGGAAGGTAGAAGGCGAAGAGTACGAGAAAACTCTTTGATAGGAATAGGGCTTCTTTCTGTTTGTTTGCTTGCACTAACTGTTTGGATTTGCACCAAAGTGTATGCAAAGTTCCAGCTTGCTTGGCTGGGTTCAGTTTCCCAACTGTTTAACTGTTTTGGTCGCTTGAGTTAGCAGAAGATTGGTTCATTCAATCCGACAATTTTTGTACTATTAGAAGTATTGTTCCAAACGAACTAAGCCAGTAATTTTGAGAATTTTGCCACCAAAGTTAAAGATTTGGAGAGAAAAGGCATTTTATTTCATAGTCTTAATTTGGGAAGTTAATCCGTTTAATGGTGCACAAGTTCATATGGGATTCATGAAGGTTTGTGAAAAGAAGTTTCTTGCATTTTTAGCACTTGGCTCCGATACCAAGGTTTTAAAACTTTTTTGTCGAACTGGTTAGTTTCCTCGAGTAAGCTATACCAATTCTTACTCTTTTAAATGAGGACACTCTGTGGGTTTTGTTTTATTA